AGCCTATTTTATTTTGCACCATGTTTTTGGTGATAATAATTCCTATAATCTATTAAATGCTGCTGTTGAGGATGAGTTTTAATAGCAAAAACAAAAATGTTAAACATTTTAAAATTTTTATCAAATGTTTAACAAACTAAAATTTTGTATTGTGTTTTTTTCTTTGATAATCAATTGGGTTTCAACACCCACTTCTCTCTCTCTATCAAATGGGGGTCAAGGAAAAATAGATTTCAAATTAAGAATCATTTTTATTTCATCTTAGTTAAATGGGTTGAGACTCTTTATAATTATCAATGGTCATAATTATCAATAGTCATATTTTTACTCACCAAATATGGGTTGACAAAATGACGGTTTGTTAGAATTTTAAATTTTTTATCAAATGTCTCAAAATACAAAATAAAATTATGTATTGTGTTTTTTTTGACAAAATGACGGTTTGTTAGAATTTTAAAAATTTTATCAAATGTCTCAAAATACAAAATAAAATTATGTATTGTGTTTTTTTTTCTTTAATAATCAATTGGGTTTCAACACCTACTTCTCTCTCTCTCTATCAAATGGGGGTAAAGGGAAAATGAATTTCATGTTAAGAATCATTTTTGTTTCATCTTATGGGCTGAGACTCTCTTTAAAAAAAGAATTCTGAAGCAAAAATCTCATTGAACCCTACCAATGACAATTACATTCGGACCACACTGAAATTGAAACATTAAAGGGTGCTTTTCTATTTCTGTAAATATTGAAATGAGTTAAAAATATGATGGATTTTGATTTTGTTGCATTATAGGGCTGTGTGCACCCTGTTTTATTTTGTTGCATAATCCAAAGCCCATTTTATTTTGCACCCTATTTTTTGTGATAATAATTCCTATAATCTATTAAATGCTGCTGTTGAGGATGACCTTTAATAGCAAAAACAAAAATGTTAAACATTTTAAAATTTTCAAATGTTAAACAAATTAAAATTTTATATTGTGTTTTTTTCTTTAATAATCAATTGGGTTTCAACACCCACTTCTCTCTCTCTATCAAATGGGGTTTAAGGAAAAATAGATTTCAAATTAAGAATCATTTTTATTTCATTTTAGTTAAATGGGTTGAGACTCTATTTAATTATCAATAGTCATATTTTTACTCACCAAATATAGGTTGACAAAATGACGATTTGTCAGAATTTAAAATTTTTTATCAAATGTCTCAAATGTCTCAAATCTAATTGTGTTTTGTTCTTACTTGCAGATTGTTTCTCGACGCTCTGGTTAGTACTTTGATCTTTGTTTTTTTGGATTCTCTCTCTCTCTCTCTCTCTCTCTCTCTCTCTCTTTAAGTTTGGCAGTTGATTGTAGAGAGAAAGAGGAAACAAGCATTGTTGTTTGAATCTTATGCATTGTTTTTTTTTTGTTCTTACTTACAGTTTAAATCTTATGCATTGTTGTTTGGTATGTGAGAAAAAGGAAGGAAAAGGAAATTGAAAGTTTTAACTTTCTTCACCATTTCATTGCTTATAAAACATATAATTAAAAATGAATGAATAAATAGAACTTTTGAATGGAAGTATGGAAAATTGGGTTAAGGAAAGATATTTATGATTAAATAAGCCACTGTGTAATATTCATGGGAGTAAATAAGCTACTGTGTAGTATAATTTTTATAAGAGTATTGAAAAAGGCATTTGTAATTATATAGATAAGACAAAAGATATTTGTAATTATCCATTTATTTGTAATTATAAATTTTTATTGTAGTTTTTTATTTAATTTTTTTCACATTGTAAAATGCAAAATTAGTAATTAAATTTCTATATTGAAGTTTTGCTAAAATTTTATTTGTAAGTAGTATAATTTATATTTTTTATAATTTACTTTTTTTTTTGTTTTTGGTGTGGTATACATTAGTTGTTAGTACAAAAAGTGGGCAATAGAATCTGAAAAATCTAGAAATCCCCTAGATGTTGATTTGTGATTATGTATCAATTTTAAGCAATATATAACAATCCCAATCAAACAATAAAAATAAATCGACACAACGATTTTACGTGAAAAAACCACAATTGGACACCTCCAATTGTGATAAAAAAAAAACTACGGGCAACAGCCACAAAACAATCCACTAAGAAGATATAAAGGAATTATACAGGTATACTCTCAATTACCTAGCGAATCCACGTCCGAATTGAACCAACCTCTATGTATCTCTTCCAACCCCGTCTTCACCTCGGAGTTGTCTTGACGATGAGCCACTCCGAAATCCACCAAAGCTTCAGGCTCGAATTCTTCAGAATCCACCGAAGAACAACTTTCTCTTTTGTGTAGAATAAACAAACAAACCTTTGATGTATGCTTCTTAAACCATGAGTTGAATACTCAATGAAAACATCAAAGAAAACTAGAAAAAAAATCCCCAGATATAAACCTTAGAATCCAAAAAGAAGATCTGGAGGACTTGTCCAAGTTTTGGGAGAAAAACCAACTACTTATAGAAATCCAAAAGTTATCATAGTTTTGAAAGAAAACCAATTCCTTATAGAAATCCAAGAATCTGTGTTCGCGCGGTCCGCTGGTGGGTGGGAATTCCCGCTCGAGCGGAGGCTTCAAAATTGTGTGATTCATATAGGCTTCACGCTCGAACGGAAGTTTCCACGCTCGAGCGTCGAATCACACCATCCAGTACTTTTTCAGGCGAAACAGAGATGCTGTGAGCTTGCAATCCTCGTTCGAGCGTCACTTTCCCCGCTCGAGCGGGATGACCAAAATTGAAAAATCTGGAAAACTTGATCCTATTACAACCTCGGTTTTGATCCATGGAAATTGACAAAGGCACGATTCGAGTTGGATTCGCATCTAATAAACTCATAGTCTCACTGAAATAAAAGGTGCGAAAACAAATACAACTGAAAGGAGTTTTGTTAAACGGGGTTGCCAAGAATAAAACTTAACAAAATCCATAAGAATTTAATTGTTGTCAATGCAAAATTACTATATAGAATCAACTGCAAAATCATGAATTGCAATAGTTCTACATTTTAGCAAATAGAGAAAAATGATGAAGATTTCTATGATAGTATTTAAATTTTCTTCTGTCCTTTTTAATGTATATTGAAGACATAAAAAAATTATAATTTGCCTTCAATCCTGTAGTAGTTCAATTTCTCCATCTGTGATATACATGCACATACGAACTTCTTAAAGTAGGTTGTTAACTAAAATATGTTATGAGGTTGTTAATTCTGTGTCAATTAATTTTTCTTTATGGCAATTACTAAATCTCATTCTGCTTTCTTACAGTTATATTTCATGTCAACAATCATTTTTATTTCATCTTAATCAAATGGGTTGAGGTTCTCATTAATCATCAATGGTTATATTCTTACTCATCAAACATAAAAATAGATTCGTATACATTTTCAGTGTTGAGGAGTGCTCTTACTAATTGTCTTTTTTTTTTTTTTTTTTTTAATCCCTTTGTCTCAGATTTCTTTAGTTTTGATTCTCAAGCAGATACTTAGGTTGGGAGGTCTTTCCCTTGCAATTCTTTATTAGTTCCCTACTTTTTTTCTTGAATTGTAGTGGGTTAATGAATGAACTCTCTCAGATTTCTTTAATGCTTTGGAATTTTCATGTTTGGTCTTGGAATTTTCAATAATTAGATTAAACATTAAGCTTTTAATGTTTGGTTTAAAAAAAAAGTCTAATATAGTGTGTATAGTTATGTATCTTGGTATATAGCTGTTTAATTTCTAGAGAATATTTATGTCTTTTTTCTTTTCTTTTTTTTCTTTTTTTTTATAATAGGAATGTATGATGAATTATGTGAATACTTACGTTTTTTTTTTTGAATAATGATATACAAGTTCATTTTTCATATCCACTTTATTTTTTGGGGGATTTCTCTCTCTCTCTCTCTCTCTCTTAGTTTGGTTGTTGATTGTTGAGAGAGAGAGAGAGGAAAAGGAAGTTTGAATCTTATGCATTGTTGCTTGGTATCTGAGAAAAGGAAAAGGAAATTGAAAGTTTTAACTTTCTTCACTGTTTCATAACTTATAAAACATATAATTAAAAATAAATAAATAAATATAACTTTTGAATGGACAATATGGAAAAATGAGTGAAGGAAATATATTTGTGATTAAATAAGCTACTATGTCGTGTAACTCATTGGAGTAAATAAGCTACTGTGTAGTACAATTTTGTTGAGAGTATTGAAAAAGGCATTTGTAATTGTATAGATAAGGCAAAAGATTTTTGTACTTATCCAGTTACAGTGTGGTGAGACTTTTTATAAATTTTTATTGTAGTCTTTTACTCTTCTTAATTTTCACATTTTAAAATGCAAAATTAGTAATTAAATTTCTATATTGAAGTTTTGTTAAATTTTTTTTCATAAGTAGTATAATTTATATTTTTTTATAATTTATTTATTTACATTTTTTTTGGTGGTATACATTAGTTGTTAGTACAAAAAGTGGGCAATACAATCCATAAGAACTTAACTGTTGTCAATGCAAAATTACTATATAGAATCAATCACAAAATCATTTATTTGTGATAGTTCTACATTTTGGCCAATAGAGAAAAATGAAGAAGATTTCTATGATAGTATTTAAATTTTCTTCTATCCTTTTTAATGTATATTGAAGATATAAAAAAATTACAATTTGCCTTCAATCCTGTAGTAGTTCAATTTCTCCATCTGTGATATACATGCACTTACGAACTTCTTAAAGTAGGTTGTTAACTAAAATATGTTATAAGGTTGTTAATTCTATGTCAATTAATTTTTCTTTATGGCAATTATTAAACCTTATTCTGTCTTCTTACAGTTATATTCCATGTCAACAATTATTTTTATTTCATCTTAATCAAATGGGTAGAGGTTCTCATTAATCATTAATGGTCATATTCTTATTCGTCAAATATGAAAATATATTCGTGTGCATTTTTAGTATTGAGGAGTGCTCTTACTAATTGTGTTTTTATTTTTATCCTTCTGTCTTAGATTTCTTTAATTTTGCTTCTCAAGCAAATACTCAGGTTAGGAAGTCCCTCCTTGCAATTCTTTATTAGTTCCTTGCTTTCTTTTTTGAATTACAGTGGGTTAATGAATGTTCTGGATTAATAAATGAACTCTCTCAGATTTCTTTAATGCTCTGGAATTTTCTTGTTTGGTCTTCGAATTTTCAATAATTAAATTACACATTAAGCTTTTAATGTTTGGTTTAGAAAGAAGTCTAATATAGTGTGTATAGTTATGTATCTTGGTATACAACTGTTCAATTTCTACAGAATACCATTTTTTTTTTTGTATTTATTTTTTTTATAGTTGGAACGTATGATGAATTATGTGAACGCTTATGTCTCCTTTTTTTTTTTTAATAACGATATACAAGTTCATTTTTTATACCCATTTTATAGACCCAGTGATGTGTCAAGAAAATGTGGGTGAGAGTGAGATAATATTTAATTATCAACCAGTCCTCTTTTTGACATATCACTGGACCTATAAAATAGGTCTAACTTAAAAGATTTTGTTACAAGTTTATTTTTTTTTTAAATTTTCAAGTTCATATTTAATTATCAACCAGTCCTCTTCTTACAGTTACAAGTTCATTTATTTTTTTACAAACATTTTGTTACAGTTTAATTTTGTAATATGATAGGTCTTTTTCTTCTTTTTTTTTTCATCATCTCTCTTAGGCTGTATTTGGATTTAGGATTTGAAAGGAATTAGTTGATTGAAAGGAAAAGTGAACATTAAAAAGTTAACTCTTTTAATTTGATGGCCCTTATTTTTTTTCCTTTTAAGGAACTGTTTTTAGTTTGGTTTTTTATTGAATTGCTATTTTAAAATGTTTAGGCTTCTCTCTCTTTAAAAAGAGTCCAGCTTATTTAGCTTTTTCAATTTTGTTTTTGGAATTTTTCAAACAAAAAAAAAAAGACTTTTTAGATGTTTATCAGGACCTTTAAAAAAACTTAAACTTATTTTAAAATTTTGTTGTAATAATTTTTTAATGATTTTTATGAGAGTATTACTCCTTGGAGTAAATAAGCTACCGTGTAATATAATTTTTTGTGATGTGTATTGAAAAAGACATTTGTAATTATCTATACTATATATTAAGCAAAAGGGGGTTTTTAACCCCAAGACTTATGGGAGCTCCAATCTCCCAATCTAAATTTTTTGATTTTTTGATTTTAAAAAAAAAAATCTTAGCATTAATTAACTTCTCCCAACTCCCAATTCTTACTCTCATAATAACACTTTAATGCATTAAGAACAAGCATAAAAAAAATTCTTTGAAATCCAACACATATGAATTCCTTGAAAAGTCCCAACACATATGATTATTATCCCTCATAATAACACTTTAATGCATTAAGAACAATCATAAAAAAAAATTCTTGAAAAGTCCAACACATATGATTATTATCAAATATTAAACTTTAATATAATATAATAAAAAAAAGACATTTAATTCCTTGAAAAGTCTAACACATATGATTATTATCAAAATATTAAACTTTAATATAATATAAAAAGGGAAAAAAGACTTTAAAAAAAAATTTAAATCACAATTCACATATATAGATAATTGTAAACACAATCCGTGCATAGCACGGGTGATATGCTAGTATAGATAATACCAAAGGTATTTGTAATTTTCCAGTTACAGTGTAGTGAGCCCTTTTGTAAATTTTTATTGTAGTTTTTTTACTTATTTTGTTTTCACATTTTAAAATGCAAATTTAGTAATTAAATTTCTGTAATTAAGTTTTGCTAAAATTTTATTCATTAGTATAATTTATATTTTTTTTTATAATTTACTTAGTTGTTAGTAGGAAAAATGGGCAATACAATCCATAAGAATTAACCTTTGTCAATGAAAAGTTACTATATAGAATCAACCACAAAATCATGTATTACAATAGTTCTACATTTTGGCCAATAGAGAAAAATTATGAAAATTTCTATGGGAGTATTTAATTTTTCTTCTATTCTTTTTAATGCATATTGAAGATATAAAAAAAATTATAATTTTTTTCTTCTATCCTGTAATAGTTCAATTTCTCCATCTGTGATATTCATGCACAATTTAACTTCTTAAACTAGGTTGTTAACTAAAATATGTTAGGAGGCTGTTAATTTTGTAGCGATTAATTTCTCTTTATGACAATTATTAAACCTCATTTTGCCTTCATACAGTTATCTTTGTCAAATTTATATAACCAGGCACTTTTAGGTTGAGACACCATTGACCTTCAACTGCTAATTATGGACAACATTACTATTTTTGGTCACGTAAGTTGTTTTCTTTTTTATTTATTTGAAAAAAAAAATTTCTTATAAGCAAAAGTCAATTTTCTTTTCTTTTCATTATACCTCATTTTGCCTTCATACAGTTATCTTTGTCAAATTTATATAACCAAGGGCTTTTAGGTTGAGACACCATTGACCTTCAACTGCTAATTATGGACAACATTACTATTTTTGGTCACGTAAGTTGTTTTCTTTTTATTTATTTGAAAAAAAAAAATTTCTTATAAGCAAAAGTCAATTTTCTTTTCTTTTCATTATTTTTTTATCTAATTCCTTAGAACAAAATGCTCTTTTCTTAAATTTACAGATGGATGGAGACTTACGTCGAACTGTAATATTGACTCCTTTTACTCATTTTCTTACATGTATAATTTTTTTATTTTTTTTACCCCTAATTCTTTTGTATTTTTAGGTCCAATTTCTTCAAGAAAAAAATGTTAATGTTGTTATCCGTGATGAGCGTGACCTTAATGTCATCCGTGTTCGAGAGGTAGGCCCTATTTAATTATATAGATTTTTTTGTTTCAAAACACTATATACACCGTATATTCTTATTTATATATTTTTTAAAAACTTTATACATATATTTTTTTATTTTTTGTAGGCAAAGGAAAAGGAAATTGCCAAGGCATTGTTGAAGAAAAACGAAAAGACCACCGTTTCGGGCAAGGGAAAGGAAAATGCATGTTCAGTAGTATGGCTCTTCAACATTTCCATTTAAAGTTCTTTTTTTGAAATATTTATTTTGGACCATGAACCTCGATTATTTATTTATTTATTTTTAAATGTAAAATTGGCATACTACTTGCACAGTGACATATACTGTTTTTATAGTAAATAGTTTCATGTAAATTTGTGAAATATTTTTTTTGAAGCATGCTAAAATAGCATTTGTACAAAAGCATTATATTTGTTTTAAATTATTATTATTCTTTTTTGGCTTTTTGCTATTGACATGAACATCTACAAGAGAAGAAAAAAGGAATAGAACAAAAAAGGAATGAAGGGGGGGAAGGATACAAAATGAAAAAGTTTTCAATTTTTTTACAAAATATCAGAAGGAAAGGGAATTAAGATAAAGTAAATTAATAGAAATAAAAATGAAGAGAAAAGTAGATGATAATATTCATATTTTAGGTATCTTATGAAATTAATCTTCATGTTTTAGGCTCATAACAATAATGTTATATCGAAAGCTGCATTGGCTCAACATGCACGGCGAGAACGTGAAAGAAATGATAAGGCAAGCTCATCATATCAATTGGGACAACGTTCGCAACGTGAACGAGAGAGATCGAGAGAATTGATTCCACCAAGCACAACTAATACTCCACCGGCTCAGAAAGGAGTAATGTTTACACATCTTACTTCGCCAAGCACATCTTTAGCTTTACAAAGGAATTGGTAAAGCATTGTATTTAATTCTACAAATGCATATTCTTATTGTTAAGATTTTATTTTATAAATTTTATTTTGTACACAACAAATATTTGTAGGCCTACTCATGCAAGCCCATTCCTCCATGAGGCTAGGAATATCGGTGTTGTTATTCGCGATGAGTGCAATCTTAATATTATCCGCAATTCTAAGGTAAGTAGAAAAATCAAGTTCAACATATTCTTTTTTCATAATCTTAATAAATTCTATAAATACATGTTCTTTTTTCGTATTCTGATTAATTTGTTTTTTAATTTTTGGTAGGCAAAGGAAAAGGAAAAGGCCAAGGCAATGTCTAAAGGAAAAGAAAAGGCAACTTCTTTTGACAAAGGAAAGGAAAATGCATGTCCAATGGTTTATATTCAACATTTTAAAAAAAAAATATTTATGAAGTAAAACAAAGCCAATCATATTGTTAAAGTGAACATTGATCATATATGTTTTTAAAATTTTAAACTATGTTGTCAATTTTTTTTGTGTGCTCTTTGTTTTCTGTACACTCAAACAAAGTATATTTAGCTCTCTTTAACATTTCCTAAAAAATAATTGTAACCTTTATAAACTCCAAGAAAAACTTTATAACATCTAAGTAAAGGAACAGAGAAACATAGGCATAGAAAATATATTTAATTTTCTTAACATTATCATGAGGCAAGAAGAAAGAGAAAACAATAATTAAAAAACAAATTGTTATATCACAAGGCATGAAGAGGGAAAATGAAGCAAAATGGAAAAGGAAGTAGGACAAAGAAAATGTAAAAATATTCTTAAAATTATCACAAGGCAGGAAGAAAAAGTAAAATATAATTAAAATAACAAAATTATTGAATCAAAAAATAAAATAGTATACGATAATATTTGTATTTTAGGTATCAATGATATAATGTTCACATTTTAGGCACACAATAACAATGTTATATCAAAAGCTACATTGGCCCAACGTGCACGACGAGAACGGGAGAAATCAAGAGAATGTATTCAACCGAGACAAACTTCTTTAATACCGTGTCGTCGTAGTCGTACTTGCTTGGAACTAGGAACAAAGGCAATTGAGGATACTCAGTCTGCGCAAAAATGAACAATGGTTGCATATCCTTCCACATGTTCGTTCTCAATGCCAAGCACATCTTTAGCTCCACAAACGAATTGGTAAAAGACTGTGTTTAATTCTTCAAATGCGTATTCCTACTATTACCATTCTATTTTAATTTACACAAAACCAATATTTGTGGGCCTACTCTTACAACTCATTCCCTTCAAGAGGATCTATGTACTAATAAGGAATTAGAGGATATGCATATGAGTCCAATGGTTAGTACTCGAGCACATATAAATTCATGTCGTCATTCTCTTGGCAAGATGGATGCATTATGTCCTTTTTGTTCAGCATTACATTGGATGGATGAAAAATTAGTAAAATCATCTCCAAACCGTCCTTTATTCGGAACATGTTGTTCAAAAGGGAAGGTTAAGCTTCCTCCGCTTATTACACCCCCTTCACTTCTTCAAGCATTATATGATGGGAATGATGATAAATCAAAATCGTTTCGATGTTATACTCGAGTGTACAATGCAACAAATGCTTTTACAAGTCTTGGTGCTACATTAGATCCAAGAGTACTTACTGGAAGAGGCCCTACATCATTCACTATCCATGGGGAATTACGACATCGAACAGGATCACTACTACCACAATCAGGGCAAGATGCAGCTTATGCACAATTGTACATTTACGACCCTGATTCAGCTTTAGAAGTTCACAATCGTAGAAATTCTCAATTAAGAAAAGATGTTCTAAAAACTATTCAAGTTAGTTTATTACAAGTTAATGCATTCATTGCTAAATTTCGCCAGGCTCATGCAATTTTAAATCAATTAGCCTTGACAGGACAAAATTTGCCTGCTCATCTCCACTACAGTTCATCGACAGATCGACGATAGTATAACCTACCAACTACAGATGAGATTGCAGTTGTAATACCAGGTGATGGAACCAAGGTTAGTGGAATGAGAGATGTTATCTTACATCTACAAGGAAATAACGAGCTAATGCAAATCAATGAATGTCACCCAGCATATTTGCCATTACATTATGTTTTTTTATTTCCACATGGTGAGCTTGGATGGGAACCTGAGATGAAACTGTGGGATGTTCAACATGATCGGCCTTCAACTGATCGGCTTACTCAAATGGATTTTTATAGTTATCGTTTGTTTGAACGACCCACAGAGTATTCAACAATTTGAGCTGGAAAATTGTTCCAAGAGTTTTTGGTTGATTCTTGGGCCGCAACTGAACAAAATAGGTTGACTTACCACAAGCTTAATCAAGGGAAAATCCGCACTGAACTTTACCAAGATTTGACAGATATTGATACAAATGACCTTCAGCCCAATCAAATTGGTCAAAGGTTTGTTTTGCCATCTTCATTTCCTGGAGGTCCTAGACACATGTTTGAAATCTTTCAAGACTCAATGGCTATCACACGATACAACCAACATCCAGACATTTTTCTCACCATGACTGCAAATCCTAATTGGCCATAAATTACTTCAGTATTATTACCGCACCAAAAGCCTATAGATCGTCCTGATTTAATTGCCTGTGTTTTTGAGTTAAAGAGAAAGTGCTTGATGAAGGAGATAGAAACAAACCGAGTGTTTGGTAATAAAGTTGAGCATGTTTTTACAATTTAATTCTAAAAATGAGGCCTTCCTCATATGCATGCACTTCTATTTCTTAAGGGTCCAGACAAAATTCGGACATGTGCTCAAGTAGACAAATTGGTTTGTGCAGAATTTCCAGATCCAAAAGATGAACCTATGCTTTTTGAAACTATCAAGTGTTGTATGGTACAAGGACCACGTGGTGCTCGAAATCCACAAGCACCATGTATGAAAAATGGTAAATGCACTAAGAGATACCCTCGAGCGTTCACAGAAACAACTACTATGGATCAAGATGGATATCCTATCTATCATCGTCGCAATAATGGTCAAGTTCATATTGTGAGGGGGAAATAAGTTGATAATAGAGACATTGTACCATACAATGCATGTCTTTCTAAACGTTTCAACTGTCACATAAACGTGGAAGTTTGTGCCGGAATGAGATGTGTCAAGTATATACACAAGTACATTTACAAGGGTTATGATCGTACAACGATGGTGTTGGGATTGATAAATGAGATCCAACAATATCTCGATGCGAGGTATGTTAGACCTCTAGAAGCTGCTTGGAGAATATTTGGTCATCCATTGCATGCTGAGATACCAACAGTTGTACGCTTAGCACTTTATTTACCTAGAATGCACCGCGTTCTTTTTAATCCCGATGAATCATTAGAAGCAATTGTTTCTAGAGCTGGCCAACAAATGTCAACTCTTACTGGTATTTTTGCATGTTGCGCTTCTATGGAAGATGAATGTCTATTCACTTACCAAGAATTTCCACAACGTTTTGTTTGGCTTAATTCAGAAAAGAGATGGAAACTAAGGCATCATGGCTATGCAATCGGTAGAATGTACTTTGCTAGCCCTAATTCTGGTGAGAGATTTTATTTGCGTTTGCTATTAACTGTTGTCAAAGGACCAAAATCGTTTCAGTGCTTACGTACGCTCAACAATGTTTTGCATGATACGTTTAAATCAGCATATGTTGCAAGAGGACTTTTAGAAGATGATGAAGAATGGATACAATGCCTTAAAGAGACTGCAGTTATGAAAACTGGTTATCAATTAAGGAGATTGTTTACTATTATTCTTACTCAGTGCTCTCCACTGCAACCATATGCGTTATGGAATCATTTTCAATGCATCTATGTGATGATCTTGCACATAAGATTCGAACATTGTTTGCCATTTCTGAACCAACTGAGGCTCAAATTGAAGACTATGGTCTATATCTTTTGAATCAAATGCTCCAAGAATCAGGAAATAGTTTAATTGACTTCCCACCAATGCCACAACCTTCTATAAATTGGAGTGCAGTAGTTGGTAACAAGTTGATATTTGAACATCAACAACTGTAGAATGAGGCACAACAGGCAGATGCAGAAATTATTATTGATCGCCTCAACAATGATCAACGAACAGCTTATGATGCAATCACTTCCTCAGTCTTTGAAAATAAGGGAACTATTTTCTTTTTAAATGGAGGTGCTGGAACAGGGAAAACATTTTTGTACAATGCGATTGCATTGAAGTGTCGCAGCGTTGGCCATATTGTTATTACTGTGGCTTTATCTGGAATTGCATCATTATTATTGGTAGGAGGTCGTACTGCTCATTCAACATTTTCCATTCCGTTGGATGTATTGGAAAATTCAATTTGTGGATTTAGCAAGCAATCATTATAAGCAGAATTGTTTAGAGAAACAAAACTTATAATCTGGGATGAAGTTCCTATGTAGCATGGACATTGTGTTGAGGTAGTTGATCGCACACTTCGGGACACTTGTGATAGTGAAAAGCCATTTGGGGGTATCACTGTTGTTCTTGGTAGAGATTTTCGACAAATCTTACCAGTTATAACCAAAGGAGTCCGTGAGCAAATTGTGAATGCATCATTAAGACACTTTTTTCTATGGAAGGATATACATGTTCTGTCTTTAAATTTGAACATGCGTTTGAATCATGCAAATCTTGGAAATGTTAATTTTGCAAAATTCTTGATGGAGGTAATATTTCTTCAAAATTTTTCTCTATTATATGGTTCTTTTAAATTGACGAAATACATTTACGTTTATGTACTTTAATTGATTTTACTTATTATTTTATTTATTTATTTTTATAAATAGATTGGGACCAATCCTCAAGAAATTGTTAAACTTCCATCAACAATACACAAATGCCAAGACCTAAAAGACATAATCTCAGTAGTTTATCCGCAACTGGATGTGGCAATGACATCGACTGCAACATTTTTAGCTGAACGTACAATTCTTTCTGCACGGAATGATGATGTGAGTGCCATCAATTCTGCAGCATTGAATATTTTTTCCGGTAACACACATACTTATTTGGCAGCAGACAAGATGTCTGAAGATGATGAAATTGATCGTACTATAATAAATAAATATCCTAATGAATATTTAAATTCATTAGATCCTCCTGGGCTACCAGCTTTTAAGCTAGAGTTGAAAGTGGGTTGTCATATAATGTTGTTAAGAAATATTGCACCAAAAGATGGACTGTGCAATGGCACAAGATTGATGGTTTCTAGATGCAATACTCGCATAATTGAAGTTCAAATTTTAACTGGGGAAAAATTTGGCAATTTGGTATTCATACCAAGGATATCCTTGACACCGTCTTCTTCAGAAATGCCTTTCCAAATGACAAGACGTCAATTTCCAGTTCGATTGGCATATGCCCTAACCATTAATAAATCTCAAGGGCAATCTGTGAAATTTGTTGGAGTTGATTTGCGCACACCAGTGTTTAGTCATGGGCAATTGTATGTGGCCTTATCTAGATGCACATCTTTTGATCATATAAGTGTCCTCCTTCCTAATGATGAGCCAGATTCTACTACAAACATTGTTTATCCTGAAATTTTGTTATAGTGTTACTTATGGATCAAACCACTTTTGTCAAAAGGTACAATTTATTTATTGATAAATTTGTTTCTATTGATTACAAATTGTTATTTTAAAAATATTTTATTATATGTGTCGACTTTTGTAGGATTGGGTTAAAAAATATATGGAGCTCAAAAAGATAAATAGAACTGCATTGCTTCGATGGGGATGTAATAAGGTAATTTCAATTTGAAAGTGTTTGGATATATTTATATAAACTTTCTTTTACTAATATACTAACTTTTTTTATTTTCATAAATTAGTAGATTGTCGTGCATGCTCCTTACCGGGGATACATATGATGAGCCAGATTCTACTACAAACATTGTTTATCCTGAAATTTTGTTATAGTGTTACTTATGGATCAAACCACTTTTGTCAAAAGGTACAATTTATTTATTGATAAATTTGTTTCTATTGATTACAAATTGTTATTTTAAAAATATTTTATTATATGTGTCGACTTTTGTAGGATTGGGTTAAAAAATATATGGAGCTCAAAAAGATAAATAGAACTACATTGCTTCGATGGGGATGTAATAAGGTAATTTCAATTTGAAAGTGTTTGGATATATTTATATAAATTTTCTTTTACTAATATACTAACTTTTTTTATTTTCATAAATTAGTAGATTGTCGTGCATGCTCCTTACTGGGGATACATACAAGTTGATATAAGTACTTTTTGGAAAGTGATGAGGGGCTCCTAGGATTTCTAAGAAATAACAAGTTTGAATCTTATATTTATTTTTGTAAAAAGCGTACATATGCTATCTACGATCCATATTTTGTAAAGTTTCCGATCGATGTGAAATTTATTACTTACAATAGTTTTGTAAAGCCTTTTGTCTATGTGAAATTTATAACTAAGTTTAGATGTATGTTAGATAATATTCATTTGAATTATTGACATATGCTATGAGTTTGTTTTTGTAAATGTAACACATTAGGTGATATAGTCTTTTTTGTTTTTTTGTTTTTTCTTCCTAATATGCTCTTGAATTAGGTTAAAGAAAACTAATAATATTTTTATTTGGTTGAATTTGAATTTTTGCCTCCATATATCTTTTATCAGGAAGGGTGTTGCATTTCTTTGTATTACAGAACATTGGCTGGTGTGCTTAATTTGTTAATTGAATTTTTTTTTTTGTATTGCAGAGCACTAGCTGGTGTGCTTAAATTGTTATTTGGCATTTGCTTTGGTATTACAAACCATTGGCTGGTGTGCTTAATTTGTTGTTTATTTTTTTCTATTGCAGAACATTGGCTGGTGTATATAGATGTTTTTGTGTTGTGGGACTTACATTTTGTTGTTTGTTTAAAATCTTATACTTTTATTGTGCTTGAATTTTACGTAGCATTTATGTGTTTACTTTTTACTATTTCGTTTACCTATTAATTTGAAATTTTATGTTTAAATTGATTTATTCACCAAGTAGCATACAATTTATTTATTTTTCATTTATTTAATTTTCGGCATAATAAACTGACCACCAAACCATAAAAATTGGTAGATTTTAACCATTACATTAAAATTGATGCAAAACTATAGCTATGAGATCTTGCTTCTTTATTTCAACCAAAACTCACTATCTAAAAAAATGTGGATATAGAAATTTATTTGGATACTGTTATTGGCCAGGATAATAAAATGCTTATTTTCTATTACAAATTGCAAGTGAGTTACATAAACAAAAATACTATAATAGTAAATATTTGGTGATATGATCTTTATTTGCATTTGTGTCATCACAATTTTTACATTTTATTGGCCAAGGTAATAATTGTGTCATCACTATTTTTAATTGCTCCATCTCTCTAAATTTTATAATGCAAAATATTTAAATCGAGTGGATCTGAAAAGTGAAAAATATTGATTAAAATATTAAAAATTTCACTAAAAATAATAAAATACAAATTAAAATTTTACAAACTATTTTTGAAAACTCTAAAACCAAGTAAGTTTTGAATTTTAAATTTGTAAAAATTATTACAACCAAACAAAATTTTGAGTTTGACAAACTCTTTTCAAAAATCTAATTATAAAATTCATTTGAAAATCCACAACCATACGGATCATCTATTTATATTTTCACCTCAATTTTTTTTCCCAACAAATTAAATAAATTACATTTTAACCCAACATTTTTATATTCAATTACATATTCATTCCAGCAATATTTTCACCGTGCCTTCAGGCACGGGCATACCCTAGTAATACAATAAGCGGGAGCACTATGAACATGCTCGTCTAGTCTCGTTATCATACGAGGTGACCCATTTTTAAAATCCTTGGGGGCCAAGTGTTATTTCACCAAACCTCATCCCGCGCACTTGAATTTAAGACCTTGTTTGGCATGATTTAAAAAAGTTAAAAAATTAAAATGTCACTATTCTGTTTAAGTCACATTATTTTATTTAAGTCACATTACCTTTCTAACATATCACTTCAAACCCAACCCATACCCAACCCATATTTCAAAAAAAGTCAAAAAGTATACTTATTTAGATCATCCCAAACCAGCCCTAAGTGCCAAATTAAGTTAGATATTTTAATTGTTAATAATTTAAAAATCTTATTTATAAATGTTATGATAGTTCAGATTTTATTTAAAATTTTTTGAACTAATAAGTCTTATTTAATAAAATTGAAAATATTATCAATTTTTTTCTAATTTTAAAAATTAAGAACATTATCAATTTTACATAGTAATGTTTCAGATAATTAATTCACTAACTGATAAAAAAAACAGAATATGAGATTAAACGTTTTTGACATTTTACTTATTGGTTTGATTCAACTATCCAATAAAATCGAGAAGATTATCATTTTTTTTTCTAATTTTAAAATTGAGAACATTATCAGTTTTTTTTCATTTTTAAAGATTTTTTTTCAATTTTGCACATCAATGTTCCATCATCATGCTCTTTTATAAACACAAAAATTTTAATTTTGCACAAAAAAATAATTCAGTTTTTTCAAAAATAAAAATAAAAAATTCACTTTGTTTGGTTTCCATTTCCATAATTCACTTTTCAGAAAATTTTGCTTTTTCATTTTTTGTTTTTTTTTATTTTCACTAATTTTTTTTAGATACACCTAACATAAATACACTTAAAAAGTATAATATTTGTGATTTTTTTAAAGTCACTAAATACCAAAAATAATAAAAAAAATAAGATGAAAAGTCAATAATTTTTTTTGGTATTTTTGCATATTTATTAATTTTTTTAAAAAATATTTTACTATTTAAATATATATAAGTAAGGTACATCTACAAAAATTAAAAAAAAAATTGCTTAATTTTTTTAAAGTATTCACTAAAAACAAAAAAATACCAACAAAAAAAAAAAACTTAATTTCCAAAAAATTGAATTCAGAAAACTGAAATCAAACATACTTTTTTTTTGACACATAATTTTTTTTTTAGTTTTTTTCAATTTGAAAGTTGATGTTTTAAAGTTTTAAAAATTAAAATAAATGTTAAATCATCATATTCCTTTATATATAATCATAAATGAGGAACAATCATTATTTGAAGGACAATTTTGGCTATTAAAAATTTAATAGGACTTGAAAATCCAAAAAAAATCTTAGTTAGAACTTAATGGAATATAAGTTCATAAATTAGAATTTGTGCGTAAATGCCCCATATTTTAATTGGACATTTAGTTTGGTTCATTATGGATCTATTACATATATGTCTCGATGATTTAAATTATTTTTTTGTAAGATCTTTTAAAAATATTATGTATAAAAAAAATTAAATTGAACAAATATCGAAAACTATATTATTTAAAAAATAACTAACATAATACTTTGAAAATTATACTGGCCACTAATTATATTTTATTTCGATATCTGATTAATTTAATTTTTTATATGCATAATTTTTTTAGAAAAATCTTATAAAATAAACTATTTAAATTATTAATATGTACTCAAAATGATCCCATAATAAACCAAACTAAATTGTCCAATTGAAATATCCTGAATTTAACCCATTAAAATATCATGGCATGGCACCCCCATCTGCCACACTACCAGTGGAAATGAGTAATCTTAGCCATTTCAAATATTTTACCAAAGGTATGAAACCCACAGTATTAATAGAAGTGATTAATTTTAGGATCCAAAATTTTATTAAATGCTTACATGGACATATGATTAATATTAGGATCCATGGACATATGATTAATACTTGACATATGATTAATATGATTAATTTTATTAAATACTCACATAGACATAAGACTTGCACCTATGTAAGACTTAAGGGTAGAAATTTGTGACACATTATAATAATATGATTCGAACCATATGTGAAATAGCAAGTTGAGATTGATTATTTTTTGATACGAATATGTATATGACGACACAACCTGATAATACGAATATTAAGCAGTTGGGATAAGTGTCAAATTTGTATAACACGACGAAATTGATACGGATGACTCGTATAATGAAGAATTAATTACACATTATAACATTATTTATACTAAAGAGTATAATGACATTTTTTAATCTCTTTCATAATTATATCTAGTTTATTAAAAAGTATGTAAAATACAATTTTAAATTTATATAACCTTTGTTTTTACTTTTAATTGAACTTAATGTCTTTTTTATCTATTATTTGGGTTAATCTAGTAAAAAATGTAACTTTTATAAATTAAGAAAATAAAATTAAGTTGAAATAAAATATTTTTATAAATAATTTCATTTAATAAATATTAGTTTCATTAAATTTAACATGTGAATAAATTTTTAAATTTTTTTCAATACATTTGATATTTTTAGTTAGGGAAATCCAAATATGCGCATCCTTAAAAGTAGGGTGTACACAGTCCGGATTGGTTCGGTTCTGAGAAAATCCAAGAATCGAACCGATTCTAACGGTTTTGTGATTTTAAGAACCAGACTAGACCGTTACACTTGTAAAATCGAACCAGAACCAAATCGAAAAAACGGTTCGGTTTGGTTTACGGTTCCAAAAATTTCTATTTAAAAGAATAAATTGTTAATATTAACAAAATAATTACTAAAACTAATTACATTTAACTCATGATAAAAGCTAATAATATTAAGGCATTACTTAATATTACATATATATATATATACCATCCTAATATCATTAAAATTATAAAAAACCAATTAATAAAAATAAAACTTGATATTATATATATATCTTTTAAAATTCGGTTCGGTTCGGTTCGAACCGCGAGTTTTTCATAAAATCCATTAACCGAACTGTTTTTACGGTTCTCACATTTCTTAATCTGAAATCGAACCAAACCGTATGATTTGGTCTGGTTCGGTCCGGATTACCAGTTTGAACGGATTTTTGAACAGCCCTACTTAAAAGGGGTGTCATATGCATCTCTAATTATGTCATTTTCTTATTTAATTATGACATTATTTTAGTTATGATTTATGAGATCTTTAATTATGCCTATAGTTATAATTTTTTATTTTAGTTATGATTCAAAAAATATAAAATTATATAATTTTCTTCTTTAATTATGAAGTGTATATGATACACACATTTTAATATTTTTTAATTAGTTAATAATGAATTTTTTTCACATGACACATTAATACAAAATGAATCAAATATAAATAAAAAATAATGCGATATAAAATCATAAATAAATTAAATTAGTTTTAAGTTAATTTTGTAAGGAACTCAAAATAATTTAGTGTTAAGTTAATTTTGTATGGAACTCAAATAAGATCCAATGATGCTCATACATCATACATATAAGTATTTGGTATAATTCGTTAATAGAATATTTGAAATTTTTTAGATTTTTTGCAGCGGAAATATTCCCTCTCGAACATGCAAATATCATTTGTCTGGTCTCTTATACATAAAATAGTTGTGCTACTAGTAAAATATTATAAAGTAGTACATTCCGCTCTTTTCCCTCTAAAACCCCCTTCTCTTTTCAAGAGAGAGAGAGATCAAAACCCATAGCGGTGGTGGTTTTAGGCGAGACAGCGAGGAGGAGAAAGATGGGAGATTCCTCGGCCTCACTGGAGACGGAAGCCGAAGGGGCAGTGCCGCCGACGCACCTCCGTTGCGTCAGGAGTGACGGCAAGAAGTGGCGCTGCACTGGTTGGAAGCTCCAGGACAGGAGCCTCTGCCAGAAGCATCACCTTCAATGGCTTCAAAAATCTTCTTCTAGGAAATCCGCCTCTGCTAGGGTTTCTAAGGCCGCCATCACTGAGAAACCCCAAAGATCCCGGCTTTCGTCGAAGAAGAAGAGGAAGAGTCGTACCGATGGAGAATCTGAAGACGAGGTGATTCCGAAGAAGAAGATGCGTGGGGTTACTACTGTGGAGGAGGACGACAACGACGATGGTGATGGTCATGATGATGATGATGAGAAGGAGGAGAGGCTTAGCTCGATGAAAAGAGGTAACGAGAATTTGAAGGGTTTGGGAGTTACAGAGAAGAAATCGGGAATGGGAGTCAAAATCGAACAAAAAGTAGGAGGAGAAGGTGAGGACGAATCTAGTGGGGGTGATTCAGAGGACAATGAGGAGGGTAATTTGGTGAAGGCGCCATCGGAGAGGAAATCGGGAATGTCAATTAAAATCGAAGAAAAAGAGGACACTAATGACGAAGGTGATTCAGAGGATGATGAAGAAGATGCTAATTTGACAAAAAGCATAAAAAAATCATCGAAACAGAAGAAGAAGAAGAAGAAGGAGAAGAAGGTTCGGAAACTTCAAGCGAAGACCATAATCAAATATTCTGGAGATGAAGAGGAAGCTCATGATGAAAGGGGTGATTCAGATGATGAGAAGGATGACAAAATTGAATCAGCATCACTAGGGAGGAAGAAGAAGTTTTCTAAACTGCAAGAGAAGAAATTGGGACTATTAACCAAACATAAACAAGAAGAGGAAGATAACACTGATGATTCAAATTTAGGTAAAAGAAGGTCTCGATCGAAGCAAATTAGCTTTCGTGTTGATTCTAGAAGGAGGCATTTTAGCACTGATGTAAGCTTACACTCCCTACTTCCTTCTTTATCTATGTGGCTTAATATCTATAACTAAAACACTAACAAGCTTTTTTTTTGAATAACTCTGAACAGGGGGGTGATGATGATTGCTCCATGTGTCATCAATGCATGTACAGTACTAGGAGGGTGGTACGGTGTCGACGGGGCTGTCGCAAACGTTACTGTAGTCCTTGCATTAAGAGATGGTAACATTTTTAATTTTTTTGCTGGCATTTTAAAGCGTAGTATCTAAATAATACATCTATATTGAAGGACATTGCATTGAAGTGCTGAACTTAGGCTGAAATAACTTGTCTTTGACAAATAGTTCTCATTGTGAAATCACTATGAATTTATCTAACTCGTCTTTTTTTGAGTAAAGATTACAGAAAGCTTTATTTTGATCCACTTATAGTTTCTATACAACAGTATATTCTCACGTGGATGCCATGGCCAATGCCAAAGTTATAAACTAACACACTAGCGTATTGTAAGCTTGCGGGTGTGTGTGCATGATGTGATTTGGATGTCATATATTCTCAATTGTGGTGTTATCCAATACTAATAGCACTATGGGGGAGAATCAACAATTTTATCTTATTGAACAATGAGGGAGAATCAATTTGTCATAGTAATATTGCATATTGAGTTGCAGTTTGTTTTAGGGTTTTCTAACATTGATACTTATTGTCTGAAACTAACCCGGTACTGGTGCATATTGTCATAAATGTTATTAATGGTTGATGACTGAGATTACTTGTCCATTTTTTATATTGCATATTGAGTTGCAGATTGTTTTAGGGTTTGCTAACATTGATACTTATTGTCTGCCTTCACTTGGTAGAATGGTTTTTTAGTCCAGCTGGTCATGATGGTTGGATGATCTATGAGATGTGGCAATTATACATGTGACTATGTCAACTGTAATTTGATATCTTTACTAAAAACATGATATGTTTGAAGCTGTGACTGATGACAAATGTGTATCATACGTGTATCCCTCATTAATTATCATGCACATTTTTTCGTCATTTTCCTTTGTATCATAATTTCCAGGTATCCCCAACTGTCAGAGGAAGCAATAGCTGAGTCTTGTCCATATTGTCGAGGAAACTGCAATTGCAAAGCTTGTTTGCGTCGAATGGATATACTTGAGGTTGGTATTTTTGGTATGTGCCTTTTGTCATTCAGCTATTGTTTTAACAACTCTCTTGTCTAGTGAGTGACGACTAGTGGCTTTCTTATGTCTTACTGCAGACTAATAAATATACTGGACAACCCAAAAGTAAAGATGAAAGGATTCGGCACTTGAAATATCTGATATATGTACTCTATCCGTTCTTGAAACAATTTGATCATGACCAAACAATGGAGAAGGAGATGGAGGCTAAGATTCAAGGTATACTATGAATATTAAGGATCACTGTTGAGTCATTTACATGCAATGTTGCAAGTATGCAACTGTTGAGTGAGTAATGCTAATCCTTCTGTGTTTCATTTCTTAGGCTGTTCATGGTGAGAATTATCCATTGTCATTCTTGCAGTTGGGGCATTTTTTTTTTCCCTTTTTCTAAGTTGACTTTGATGAAATTACTGGAATACTAAAATTACTATTAATAACTTACCAAAGGCCATGAAGGATGGACCAGAGCTTCGATGGCTAGAGTAGGTTCATTAAAGTGTGATTTTATGTCATTTCACAAATCTTCTGCTTCGTAGAACTGAAAACATATAAGACATTGAGTTCCTCAAGCCATTGGGGATATATATGAGGTGCACTAGCTTATGCAGCCAAAACAATGCTTTTCATTCTCTCAGTAATTTGTCAATATGTGGTTGGTTTTTCTTGTGAAGAATTTAAAGATGATGCTTTGAAGCTGATAATGAAAATGTGGCCAGAGGAGCAGAAAAAAAAACGCGAAGAGAAGTTGTAGGAATTTATTTTTCCTTTTCCTTTTCCTTTTCTTTTTTCTTTTATTCTTTTCTTTTGTACAAGGGTAGTGCTCCACCTTGGCACTTTCTCTAAAACAATTTTTATTTACTAAAAAAAGAAGAAGTTTGTCAATATGTTTGCTACTTGTACAGGATTATCACTATCAGATATAGAGATACAGCAGGCTGTTTGTTGTAATGATGAACGTATTTATTGGTATGCCCCTTAACTTGGACTATCCATGTTTAGAAACCGTTACTGTTAAATATTTAATGATATCACGCATTCAATTGCAGCAACAATTGCAGCACTTCTATAGTTGATTTTCATCGAAGCTGTCCAAATTGTTCGTTTGATCTCTGCCTGACTTGTTGCCGGGAAATTCGAGGTGGTTGCCTGCAAGGAGGTGGCAATGACATTGTTGTGCAATATTCTGACAGAGTGAAATCTTATGGCGAAAAACCTCTCACCTCGCTTTCAGATAAAAAAAGTTCTTCTAGTTCTGAGGTTGATAAAATGCCAAAACCCGCCTGGAATGCCAAGGAAACTGGTGATATACCTTGTCCACCAGAGGAAATGGGTGGTTGTGGGCATGACCGTTTGGAGTTGAGGTGCCTTTTTCTGGAAAGTTGGGTTTCAGAATTACAAAAGAAAGTAGAAAAACTAGTCGGTAGCCAAATATTTGCCCATGTTCCTGAAATTTCTAAAGAGCGATGTTCCTGTTTCAAATTGGATGGTGAGGTTGACGTTGGTAATGGACAACTTCGTAAAGCTGCTTCTAGAGAAGATGCTGATGACAACTATTTGTACTGCCCTTCATCAAGTGATATCCAACAAGGGGATCTGGAGCACTTCCAGAGGCATTGGGTAATGGGAGAGCCAGTTATTGTTCGCAATGTTCTGGAGTTTACATGTGGATTGAGCTGGGAGCCAATGGTTATGTGGCGTGCATTCCGTGAGATATCATATAACAAGGGTTCCTCGGATTTGGCAGTGACAGCAGTTGATTGCCTTGATTGGTGTGAGGTCAGTCTTTTTAAGATACCACTTTATTTGGTTTCTTATGGTGTTGTATTATGGTCATCGTGTTTGTCATCCTTGGTGCTTTTGTATATATTTTGTTCATTACTTATTATGTAAAATAGCAAATTTTCTGCATGAATGGGTTAGATTGTAAGGAGTCTGGTTTATCAGTGTATTGAGTGTAGCATGGTAGAAGGGAATGTGAATCAGTGCTAGGGAAAGTGATCTATTACTCTGCCTTGTTCTTTTAGGACTTTTTAAGCTTCTAATTTCTGTTACTTATGTAAAAAAATGTGAATGTCTTGATGTAGATACCTCCTATACTGCCACATGGTATAGACATGTGGACAATTACTTATGCCCTACACATCGGCAGAGACCTACATGTGTCAGCTTTCAACTTCAAGGGACGTGTGTACGCTTCACATGTTTAGTACTTGACCAACGGAGACTGAAGGACTAATAGCATCTGGTATATCTCTGAGTTCTAGGATTCGATCTCTATGAAGTTTGCTTACTTTACATCCCACTGAATTCAGAAGTATTGAACCTCTAATAGCCACAGTAGGTAGGTTTTAAATAATGGTGGCGGCGGCCGTAATGGTAATGGTGCCAATGACGTGGTTGCAGGGTGTAATGGCTGTAGCGAAATGGTGGCGGCAACTAGGGCTATGGTTTTTTTTTCCTTCGCACAATTTTTGAAAAACTTATTGATACACATGTTTTTATTTCAAAATCATGTTTAGTAGGGTTTACAATGATTTTTAGTTGATTTTGTTTAGTTATTAGACAAGGTGTAATATATGTATTAATTTTTACACAAGTTTTAAGTTGCTATTGGGATTTTTTGATTAGATGTATTTAACTTTATTTATTTTATTGACTGTACATATGGATAATGTTTCCATTCTTATAGCAAAAAATAAAGCATGTATAATATAAATAGATAGGTTAATAATCACAACTAATCAAGAGGAAATGAAACATATTTGAGAGGAAAATAGAAAGCCAAAGAACTAAGCTTATGTAACCATGGTAGCAATTTTAATCTTGTAGAATTTGAAGATTGAACGCTCAAAGCATGTAGATCTTAATTTTTTGCAACATTTGTATGCAATTTTTGTGCGTAATGGCGTCGTAATGGCCTTTATGGGTTGTGATTTTCAATCACACCACTACAGCGGTCATAAAGGGTTGCAGTAATCACCCAAATGGTTACGCGTGGTTGCGACCCATTTTTAAAATCGGTAGCTTACCAAGCACCTCCATCCGTAGTGGTCTTATGAAAAACTATATTGCGTAGTGTTCATTTTCGTGCAATGGGGAATATTTTTTATCCTCTTTTAGTATGTTGGTGGATTTCATCTTGTTGATATAATATAGTTTTTTTAGTCCATGTATACAGAAGTTGCACCTCTTTGGTGCCTTTAGTGGACTTATCTACTTATCAGAACCAATACAATAAAAAACAAAATTCTATGCACATGTATGAATATCACATACATGCATATGTATTTATGCAGACATACAATTCATAAACTGATGCATGCCATGGGCTCTTAACTGTGTTTTAGGCATATTTGATTGCGTGCCTTGGATTTCGTTTTCTTTTTTTTTTTCCCAATAAATACTATTGGTCATTAAATCCTTAGAGAAAAATTCAAATTTGGGCTATCCTATTTCGGGGCTATTTCAAAAGTTCAGCAATATATTTTTGTGTTTTTAATTGAGGGTACGATGGTCATATTGTAATATTATGGTTTGTATATATATTTTGCTAATGTACTAATGTAGGCTTGAGCATAACATTATAAGATATATAAAAATTCCTTCATCTTTTCTTCTCTCTTCTTCTTTCTAACCCTAATTTTCTCATTTTACATTCTAACTTGGTATTAGAGCGACCTATTCTTCATCAAAAAGAGTTCCACAGATTCTGGAGATCGATCCGAGGTGACCGAGACGTGCTGATGTCATCAGCCATACAATGACGTCAGCATGACATAAGCACTGTACGGACGAAACCTACGCCATTTGACTTGAAATTGCATCCTGAGACTTATGGTGATTTTTGTGAATTTTTTTGAAGCTGTTTGATGTGAGTTTGATTTTTGAATGATTTTTGGTTTCATGGTGCCTATTTTTGCAATCTGCCATTCTAGCATCATTTTTGTGATTTCGACTGCTGGGCGTTGTCCTAGGGGAGCCGACTGAGCCTCTTAAGGCTTCCTTTGGAGTTTATTTTGTGATTTGGTGCATCGGGTGTGTTTTCTGGGCTCAAAACAAGTCAGTTTTGTTTTTTCTGCTCAACGTTTGCTGTTGTGTTGCTGTTGCTGTTGCTATTGCTATTGCTCTTGTTATGTTTTTGGTATTGTTGTCTTCTATTCTTGTTTGTTGCGTTAGTTTTGTTGCCTATATTGGTTATTGTGGCTATTGGTTGTTGTGGATAGTTACTATGGGCAAGTATTTTGCTACATTCGTGCTCGCCTGTTGCGTATTCTGTGTGATTGATCATTATGGCCAAGATTGAAGCAAAGGCTATGCCTGTGGGTAAAGATGATAACATGCCTAAATCTATTAGTACAAAGAAATTGAATGGTGCCAACTATTTGGCTTGGGCCCATGTTATCAAATTTTTTTTACGTGGTAAGAAGTCCAGCTTCCTTGGCAAACTCCTTCCTCCTACTGATGATACAGCTTATGATGATTGGTGTAGTGAAGATTCCTGTGTTATGGGTTGGATTTGGCATAGTCTGGAACCATATGCTGCTATTACCGTGGAATTTTGTGATACCTCTAAGGAAATTTAGATCTCGCTAGCTAAATCTTTTTCAAATCATCTCTCGGGTCTATGAGTTATATGAGCAGATTTTTACTATGCGCCAATTTGGCTGGTCTCTTTCTGATTATTATAGTAGTCTCAAGACCTTGTGAGATCAGTTATTGCAGCATCGACCCTTCACTATTGATGTGAACAAACAAAAGCAATATTGGGAGGAGTCTATGATTGCTTCTTTATTCTCTAGCTTAGATCCTGAGTTGCGAGGGTTTAAGGATCAGATTGTTGCCAGTGAGATTACCTTCTGTTGCCAATGCCTATTCTAGGCTGTTACGCTCTTCACTGGGACAAGCACAATTCACCTATGGGTCCTCTATTTTGTCATCTTCTGCATTGGTCTCTAGTAGTGGTGATCATGAGTCTACTCGCGGGGGTTTTCATGGTTCATCTGGTTCACGGGGCTCTTATTCTGGTTCATGGGGTTCTCGTAGAGGTGGTTCTTGTGGTGGGGGCTCACGTGGTGGAGGTAGTAGTGGACTTGGTTCTCGTACACGTGGTGATCGCAAGTGTACTCATTGTGGTTCCCAAGGTCATACTGAACCTTGGTGTTGGCAGAAGTATGGCAAACCTGACCATGTCCATCAGGTTATGGATGTTCCATCCTCACTGTCTTCCTTGTTGTCCCTTAGCTCTGTTGCTCCTCCGGTTAATTCTTATGAGACACTCACTACTTAGATTAGTGAGCTTACTGTTGTTGTCTAGTTTCTCCGGCCTAGTCTATCTTCATCCTCTACTGCTACCATGGCTAGTTTAGGTAATTTTGCATGTGTGGCTAAGTCTACTCAGCTTTGGCTCCTAAACTCTAGTGTTAGTTCCTATGTCTCTGGTAATTCCTTTCTTTTTGATACTCTTAGACCTGTTGATCATACTATTATACTTGCTGATGGATCTTCTCAACCTGTTTGTGGTCAAGGTCCTCTTCATCCCACTCCATCCCTTTTCTTACCTTTTGGTCTTTATGTTCCTAAGTTTCCATTTAATTTGCCTTCTGTTAGCCAATTGACTCTAAGCTCTCTATTGTTTGATAACCTTTTCTCCTATTTCCTGTGTTTTGCAGGACCTCCAGACCAAGAGGATGATTGGTTTGGGACATGAGAAGGATGGCTTATACTTTTTGGACATTGAGACCTCTCATCATCCTCCGTTTGCCGTGTTAAGTGCTACTGTATCTCCTCTTTAGTGGCATTTTCGCTTGGGTCATCCCTCCTTGGCCAAGCTCAAGTTAGCTGTTCTTGGTTTGAGTCATGTTTCTTAGATTGAGTGTGAAGCCTGTCAATTTGAGAAGCATCACCGTAGTTCTTTTTCTAGTCGTAGTGTTAGTCGTGTTTGAGTCGTTTGCTCTTGTTTATACAGATACCTGGGGTCCTTCTAGAACTCCCACTGTTAATGGTTTCTTTTATTTTGTTATTTTTGTGGATGATTACTCTCGGATGACTTGGTTGTTTTTAATAAAACAGAGATCTGATTTGCCTTGCATCATCTCTAAGTTTTATAATGAAATCTTTACTTAATTTGGCAAACGTATTAAGATATTTCGGTTTGATAATGCCTTAGAATATGTGTAATCTATTGTGACTATCTTTTGTGATATTTTATTATCCATCAGACGAGCTGTTCTCATACATCCCCTCAAAATGGTGTTGCAGAGCGGAAATATCGCCATTTGTTAGATGTTCTCGCACACTGATGTTTAATATACATGTCGCCAAACAGTTTTGGGGCGATGTAGTTCTCACCACTTGTTTGCTTATCAATTGCATGCCCTCTAGTGTTGTACACACATCTCCTCATTCTCTGTTATATCCCACAACATCTCCTTTTCTCCTGTCTCCTTGCATTTTTGGTTGTGTGGCCTTTGTCCATGTTCTTGACCCTGGTTTGGATAAGTTATCTCCTCGAGCACGCAAGTGTATGTTCTTAGACTATTCTCGCACTAAGAAAGGGTATCATTGTTATCATCTTGAGTCACGTCGCTACTTAGTCAGTGTTGATGTTACCTTTTTTGAGTCCACCCGTTTTTCTCCTCCTCTGGACAATAGCTATCCACTGATCTTCTCTTTTATTATGAGGAGGAGCCTGTCTCTCTCACTCCTACTCTTACTTCTTATGTTCCTTACTCCTTTCCTATATCACCTCCTTCTAATCTCGCCTCTACATCTCCATT